AGAGAGGGAGGGAGGGAGGGAGGAAGGAAGGAAGGAAGGAAGGAAGGAAGGAAGGAAGGAAGGAAGGAAGGAAGGAAGGAAGGAAGGAAAGCAAATTTCACATGCGTTTTACCCCCACCCCCCCAAAAAAAGAACGTTTGGCCAGGCAGTGGCAGCACTGAACCTTACTCCCAGCACTCAGGAAGCAGAGGCAGTCAGATCTCTGAGATCAAGGCCAGCCTGGTCTACAGAGCAAGTTCCAGGACAGCCAGAGCCACACAGAGAAACCCTGACTTGAAAAACAAAACAAACAAACAAAAGCCTGTAGCCCACAAACACCTCATCTGGATAATCTGGCAGGGTCCTGACACAGGCCTTGTTAGCTGCCTAGGGGATTTCAGGGCCAAGCTAAGGCAGGCTGCTTGGGGGCCTCAGCAGCTTAACAGCCCCCAGGGACCTGGAAGAGCCTGGGCTCTAGGGAACAGGCTGCCCCTAGGCAGACTGTGTATCTCTGTTTTTCAAACAGAGGGGGATATTTAGCACCAGTGGTGAGCAGAACAACCCACCAAGATGCCCCACGTGCCAAACCCACAGCCTGTGACCACCTTAAGTGAAAGGTGAAGAAGAAGAGATGCACGTGTCATCAAAGGCATCACAAGGCTCCATGCAAGAGCAAAGCTGGGGCCGCGGGCTGAGCAGGGCATAAGTACTGAGGCCACCCTTCTTGGAACACGGAGGGAATCCTGTGAAGAAGGTAGGTGACTCCAGAAGCCAGGAGAGACCAGGGAATCTGCTCTACTATGGAGCTTCCAGAAGGAATGCCACTCTGCTGAGGTGGATTTCAGCTCAGCAAGGCAAGGCCAGAATGCCAAGGTCCAGAGCAAAGGATAGGCAAAGCGCTGCACACCCACAGCCGGTGACGCCATTCTGAGCCTCCTCCTCCCAACCCTGGGAGAGGGGCCAGCCAAGCTCAGCCTGGCTTCTGCTCAGTAGTCCCAGCAGGGTAGATAGGCCTGCAGGACACACCCAGCATCTTCCCACTGGACTCAGCGAGGGCGTGGCCCTGGGCACACAGGACTGAAGGACAGGACAGCCACACTCAAGGGGCTGATGTACCTGCTGCTACTTGGGGAAGCGAGAGGAAGGGGACAGGTGCAGGGCCAGGATCAGAAGGATGCCACCGAGAAGTGCCTCCGTGTTTCAGGAAAATGGATGCTTCTGGGAAATACAGGACCTTGGGGAAGGTGATGTCTCTTCATGGCAGGATAAGAACATCTGCGGGAAGGCTCTGTCCCCACCAGGAAAATCACATGCAAAGCGTCTGAGCCTGCACACGCCACCAGCTTCCCAGCCCCCCATAGTAGCCTCTGTGTTCCTGTCTCAGGCCACCTCAGGGTGGCAGCCACCCTCTTCCTCTCCTACCTAGGAACCCACTAGCTCTCAGCTGCCCTTGCTTCCCTTTGGAAGAGGGCCAAATATCAGCGCAGGAGGGCTGGTCCAGCCACACCTGCTGGTGAGCCACAACCAGGTGAACCCCGGAATGGCGGGGCCCAGGCTGGAGCTTAGGTATAGGCTAGCACACTCAGGACACGCCCACGCCCAGCAGCAGCCATTTGGATGGAGGTCTTCTGGCTGTGGAGTGCTTGCTTACCCTTTCCTCTCCCTTTCCTCTGCCCAGGCCTCTGCCAGGAGCTCTGTGCACCGACTCCTGTCCTTCTGAGTCCTAGGCAGCCCTCCTCAGGTTCTCTGTGGACCTCCCACAGGGAAGAAATGTGCCACACGGAGGACAGCAGGCACCTCCACGGCTCATTCTGACTCCCCAAACTACCCATCCCCCAGCACTGCCGAGCCCTCCACCCAGTGAGCATACTGCTTGGTGGGCATGCGCAGTATGCAGCCTCTAGCCTGGATGCCCTACCCAGGTCTGGAGAGTTCTCTCCTCCACTAGACAGCCTACAGCCCAGCCTGGACAGCCATCCAGAAGGCTGCAAGCCAACGCCCTCAGCTCGAGCTGGTGCCTCTCTCTCAGGCCTCACACTCCACGCGTGCTATGCCTCCCTTGACAGCCCCCAGAGCTAGGAGCACGTGGAGGTGGCACCCTCCTTGAGGGCACATGCATGGCCACTGGCTCTGAGGAGGCCTGCCCTGCTGCCCCACGTTTACCACTTCCATATGCCACCGAGCTTGTCCTTAAGGGCCCAGAGCCGCACCCTCTGCCGTTGTCCGGGGGGAACCCTGCAGCTGACTTTCTCACTCAATGCTGGGAAGGCTTGGTTGTGCCCGCCGAACAGCAGCTCTGGGGCAGAGCTGTTGTCAGAGTAGAGGGAGGGTGGGAATGGCCTCCGCCCCGGGGACTGTTTCCGGTGATGGGAGTGTTCTCCAGTCGGGTCATGTTACAAACTAAGAACCCTGGAGTGTGGCCCTCCAGTGAAGGGCTTGCTCCCATACCACCACAAGGCTGTTACAAATTTAAAAAGGAACTCGGCATCAAGACAAACTAAGTGCAGTGTCCAGAACATATGAACCGTGCTAGCAAGGGATGATGGGAACACCAAGACAGCGCTCCATCTGAGCAGGACTCAGGCAGTCCAAACACGCTGACAGGCTAGGATGTGGGGCCTTGGGGTGACTAAGGGCTGACAGGATGGAGCCCTTGTGATGGGAACATTGCCCTCAGACAGTAGAGCAGAGTGCTCCCTCAGTGACAGAGCAGACCTGGGGTAGCTATCCTCCTGAATTGCTAATGACCCTTTATATGACCTGATATGACACCTGCACTAGTTCGGGATACAACACGAGCTGCCTGATCAGCCCCCCACTGCCGACAGCCCCAGAGCTTTCTAGAAGGCACTTGCCCCACCCCTTAGCCTTCAGGTGCCGACATCTAAATGTGTTTCTCAGACAATGGTTCAGAATGTTCCCTCAGACAGCAGACCAGAGTGCTCTCTCAGACAGCAGACCAGAG